TCTATCATAGATGGTTTACGAGGTGATGATACATCGGATAAGTCCGACAATTCATTCGGGCGCTTGTGTAGGATCAAATAAACTAAATTAGAGTAATAAGAATAATAAAAATTAAATTTAATAAAAATAGGTCGAATTAAATAAAATACTCAACTAAATGAGACTTCATCAAATATTTATTTAAATTAAAAGTGAATTGATTTCATACGGATTGTTGAATTATTATTATTGTAGTGATAAAATATACATATACAGAGATATGACATACTCTTAGTTTTTATATTTTAAGAATAAAATTGACAAAATCTTGGTGTGCAAAAAAAAAAATATAATGACTTAGATTATAATGGATTAAACTATAGAGGTACACTGTTGTATTTTATTAATATGGATTAATTGAATAGATATCTATAAAATTTAAATATTGATGAGATTATATAAGCTTAACATTATATTCATGTTTTTATTGTGAAATATTTATTAATGTAAATATATTGTTATTGAATTTCTAACATTAACCAAATTTTTATTATTGCTAAAACTGTATTTGAGATTTTTGTTAATCATATTTTGCGTTAATCTAAATAAAATTCTTTAATCGAGTCATAATATTCTTAATAACTTTATTCTAATGTTCCACATTCTAAACATTTATTCTATATTATAACTCAAAAAAATATAAATACAAAAAATATTCACAACCCCTATTTAAAAAAAATACAAAATCCTATTATCTATACATTTTTAAAAAAACATTATTTAAAAATATGATTTAAAAATTAAAAAACAAAATATATTATATTTAATTTTAAAACGAATAATTAGTTTTTTAAAAATTTATACGTATTTTTAGTCTGCAATATATATAAAAGTTGGATTTCGAGTGATTTGATGAGAACATCGAAAACATCTTATATGGATGTTTTTAATATTTAAATTGGTTGATAAAAATCTTTCCTCCTTGTATCAGTAATGGCTTCTTCTAATTAATAATTTCTGACCATCATCCATCTCGTCTAGCTCTATATATGAGTTATCATGTGAATATATACATATCAATATACTTATACACATATCATCATTATAAGGTATATATATCATTATCAAAAGGTACATGTACATTAATTTGATCGGTTCCTGCGTTAGTACTCAACAGTTTTTTTTTGGTTAGTTTGAAATGAGATTTTTTGCTCACCATTTTTCATTATATGTACAATAGTTTTAAGAGTCATTGAAGAAGCTGCAACATACAATAGTTTATTATATCCATATATATATATATATATATATATATATATATATATATATATGTATTGTACAATATATCCACACACATACGTACCTTGAGTACACACATTCCATTTAATTTTTATAATTTTATTTTGGAGTAATCGTTTTCATATTTTAAAATTGTAATAATCCGAATCCAGTTTTAAATATTTAATTAATTTCGGAGAAGAGAATTAAATAGATAAATCATAAAATCTTTACAAAAGGACCATAAAATGTCGAGAAGAGACCCGAGAATCACCACGTATAAAGAAGATGAGAAAAGACTAGAAAACGGCAAGGGAAGAAGGGGAAAAACTGTCTGGATCGACCGGTCTAGCATAGGGACCGACCGGCGAACATTGTTGGACCGAACGAATTAGAAAGCCATAATAGAAGAAAAGAGGCCAGACCGATCGGTCTACACACACGGAAATAACCAGACGAGCTTGCATTTTTGGACGCATTCTAGGAATGGAAAAAGGACTTCGCCTGCCCCCATTGACTGACCAAACTCTCCATATGGAGCAATTATTCCCCCCAAGTAGTCCTACTCGACCCTAAGCCTCTCAACCTCTCTAAAATTGGATCCAAACTTGCTCCATTGATCATCTTGAGAGAGATAATCTGCAGAAAGAAAAAAACCAGAGGAAGAAGAGAAAAATGAAGGAAAAGAGAGAGAGGAAGAGAAAGAGAGGGAGAAAAGAGGAAAGGAGCTCGAGGAAGTGACAAGAGGCAGTCCTAGAATGTCTGGGAGGATCGCCGCCGTTGGAATCGCCGAAAACGCCATCAAATCCGGCCAAAACCAGAAACATGTCCGTTTTGAGGTGAGTGACTTAAATTGCATCTGTGTGAGCTCATTTTCATCGTTGTTATTGTGTTAAATCGTCATGCGATGTGACGGGTGTGAGAGGCGCTACTAGTCATACGATTTGACTAGAGTTTATGGCAAACCCTATGGTGCGAAGCCATACGGGAATGATGGTCGCGCGAAGCGACGACCAATGTCATGCAATGTGATGGGCGTGCAAAGTGCTCCTAGTCATGCGATGTGATTAGGGTTTACGACTATGGTGTGAAGAAGTCATACAAACTTGATTGTCGTGCGAAACGACGGCCAGCATCATGCGATGTGACGTGCGTACGAGGATCAACCTTAAACCCTTCCGAATACATCGCAAGAGGAACGGGGAAGGAATAAAATAGCTCTGGTGGAAGAAGCGAGAAGGAAGAAAAAGGAGTAGGAGGGAAGAAGTCTGACACAACTAAATTTGAGATTCAAATTCAGAACTTAATATAGATTTTATAATTTATTTCACCGAATGAATTATCTAAATTTGGATAAAATTGACTAAAGTTCAATAAATTTGATCTCATTCATCTTCGGTTTTACTAACATAAGGGGAAAACCGGCAAGATGATTGCATGTGTAATACTATAGTACGTTTAAATTTGAATTAAAAAGTTTTTCATGTGGATTATGAATAATAGTAATGTGGTATATTATTTGATAATAAACATAGCGATGATTGATGAATGGGTGCACATGGATGGATGGACACACTTGTATTATTACAACAATAAGTCAAATGCCCATGCTGACTATCATGTCCCGTTCCGCATATCTATTTATTATTATTTTTTGTTAAAGTATTATTATTATTATTATAAGCGATAATTCCAGAAAAAGCCACGACCCAATGGGTCCATAATTACCGTTGGATCTGCCGCTATTCCCGTTTTGAATAAGGAGTCGATAACATGTTGAACATTTTAAAACAAATTGGATTTTGAATAAGCTGGTTTCAAGTGCTTATCCTTTGATGTCGGTTAGATTTCTTGTCCGGATTCAAATTGACCAGTGTTTTTACATTTCCTTGCTGATCCTTTGAAATCGAAAAGCAAGTAATTGTCTCTACGAATAATGTTTAGACAAAATATCGTATAATGGTTAAGATTACACGTAAACTGGTTCGGTTTGGTTTGATTTGATTTGGTTTGGACCGATGGATCTCGTCATTTTATTGGCAATATTTATGAGAAATAAAACTTGTATTCTCTGTCTTGAAAAGAATGATAGAAAACATGTCTTTGGTTTAATTCGGTTCAACTGGTTCATTTTGATTTAGCGATTCATTTTTTGGTTTAATGTTCCGGTGTCTTTTATTTTGTTTTCTCCTACATTTTTTTTTTCATTTTGATTCAAGTGAGAGAAACTTGTCCCAAAATTCAAACTCCTTTAATTAATTTTCTCTATGCTATTTTTCAAAAGCCCATGTTTTCGGTTAAGTAAAATAATTAAAATTTTGGTAAATTCTTTTTGCTATACAACAAGTTAAAAATATTGGAAATAGTATTATCTTCGATATATTATCGAAAAGAATTTTAACCGTTAGTTTTCACTCTCTCTCTCTATCAACCAAACGATATTGTTTTATCATCAATTGGTTATATCTTTCCCATCAACCTTATACAATTACAGCCTTTCAAATCCAGTGTCTAAATCACGAAGATAAGTGAACACTGGTTCAAAGTTTTATAATGTTGTTTATCATGGATTATCTTTTTTATAGAAAATTTCCGTTTGAATAATCGGTTAACATATTTCGATTTTCACTATTTGATAACGTATTTACCGACCATCTTATTATATTTTTGTTGTTTTAAAGGTAATTTTAATATTTAAAATTATATTTTGTAAATAAATAAATTTGTTGTGGTTAAAACGTTACATTATACCCTCCGAAAATTTGGTGTGGAGATTGAAATATGAATTGGAAGTATGTTCTTACCATAGAAGCAATAAACTTAATTTCCACGCGGCATCGTCGCTGAAAACCAAAGAAATTAATATACGCGTATTATTTAATTCATATCTCTTTGGCTAAAAGTTAAAAACATATATTTTGGGATAGTGAAAATATTAAAAATATTATTTAATCTTAATTAATATTGAACGAAAATATTCAGATAACCAGATTAAAAATAAATTGCACCATGACTTAAAATTCGCACTTTAATATAATGTTATGTCGCCAATTAGACCGTAAATTTTAATTAAGATAATATTGTGTTTCAATGCGGACTAATTAAATTTGAAGCTTTTTCATACAAATTAAATTTTTGTATAATAGTTAATTTAATTTAATTTTTAATCATATAAATTCGAATCTATATATTTATATATTTCTAATTTACTATTTGTCAATAATTCGATTTTTTCCACACAAACAATTTCATTATTAAATCGTATATATTAACAAGATGGACTTATGGTTATTCTTTCTATGATCTTATTTATTAATAAAAAATATAAAATATGTTTTAACATTATTAAAAATTATAAAATTACTTTACTTTTTCCGGTGTCCACAATCTATAAAATTAGATTTCAAATACTCCTATATATTACGTAATTTATTATAGTTAACACTAAATATACTTTTTGGTATAAAAAACTATATAATTAGAATTTAAAATATTAATATATAGACATTCGTAAAACTCATTCAATTATCTTAAAATTCGGATACCAGCTCTGTGTGTTCGGAGCGCAAGTGCCAAGATGAAGATACCTTGAATCAAGGAGAAAAGTCGGTGTGATGAGGTTATACAGACAATTCCATCAATGGGGGTCCCTCCCTAAACACTCTCTCTCTCTCTCTCTCTCTCTCTCTCTCTCTCTGTTGCTTTATCTCTTTTGCTTTCTCTTTCCTCTATAAAGTCACAGCACTCGAGATTATCTCTCTCCAACAGAATCAAAACCCTTTTTACTGCTCTCTTCTTCAGCTCTTCACTCTTCTCTCTGAGGGGGAAACAAAGAAAGGAGAAATGGCAGTGCCTAAGGCCATTGTTACTGCTCTCTTGCTGATACTCTCTGGAGCTGCTCTTGGAGCTCCTGCTTATGAAGGTAAAACCTTTTCTCTTTCTCTGTGGTTAGGTTTTTCAAGATGGATCTTCTCTTTGCAAGCAGTCTTGACAAGATGTTGTACTTATTAGTTGGTTTTGCCAAATGGGTCTCTCTCTATCAGTGCTCTTTGTCGTTTCCTCGCATCTGGGTAGAGTATGTCTCTGTAAAAATGTCATCTTTGCAAGCGCTCTCTCTCTCTCTCTCTCTCTTCTCGTTCTTCTTTGCCATGTACCAGAAGTATATGAAGAGATTTAGAAAATTCCTGTCTCATGATGCTTGGCATTATCCAAGTGCTGTGGTCTCTTTTGCTCGGACATGACCTTCCAAAATCTCAAGCTTTTCTCTCTGTAACGCCCATGCCCACCCAGTTCAGCCTTTAGGGTTTGCAACTGGTTACCAGTCATCATGAAAGTCAGAAACTTTAGCTTGTCCCAGTTTCACTTCTGCACTAGTTCCTGGTTTGAACATGTTGTTTCTGTCTTTGGGTTTAGACAGTGGATGCGTTCCCTGACTTTGGTACCCTTCTGATTTGCTTCCTCTGGTATTGCTCTTCAGGGTACCTTGCCAATGGCAACTTTGAGGAGCAACCGAAGAAATCCGACATGAAAAAGACGGTTCTCATCGGCAAAAACGCTCTCCCCAAATGGGAAATCACAGGCATGGTCGAATACATCTCCGGAGGTCCCCAACCCGGAGGCATGTTCTTCCCAGTAGCTCATGGAGTTCATGCTGTGAGACTCGGCAACGAGGCCTCAATCTCTCAGAAGATCCAAGTGAAACCTGGCTCTCTCTACGCACTTACCTTCGGTGCATCCAGAACTTGTGCCCAAGACGAGGTTCTCAGAGTTTCTGTTCTTCCTCAGTCCGGTGATTTGCCGCTTCAGACATTGTACAGCAGTTTCGGAGGCGATGTCTATGCTTGGGGGTTCATTCCCAAGACTCAGGAAGTCACTGTCACTTTCCACAATCCTGGAGTTCAGGAAGATCCTGCATGTGGTCCATTGTTGGATGCTGTGGCCATCAAGAAGCTTGCTTTTCCACTGCCCACAAGAGGCATTCCTCATTAAATTATGTCTTAACATTGATTTCACTTCATTGCTTGCCACTAGGGCTTGATATGGTTCCTCATTCCTGCCACCATTGCAGATAACTTGGTCAGGAACCCCGGATTTGAAGAGGGTCCTCACCGGCTCGTGAATTCGACCGGAGGAGTCCTCCTTCCTCCTAAACAGGAAGATTCCACATCTCCTTTGCCTGGTTGGATCATTGAGTCTCTCAAGGCTGTGAAGTTCATCGACTCAAAGCATTTCAACGTCCCCTATGGAGAAGCGGCTATCGAGCTTGTTGCAGGAAAGGAAAGCGCCATTGCACAGGTCATTAGGACGGTGCCCAACAAAGTTTACAGCCTCTCCTTTGCCGTTGGTGATGCCAGAAATGGATGCCATGGATCCATGGTGGTAGAAGCTTTTGCGGGCAAGGACACGTTGAAGGTTCCACACAACTCGGTCGGTGCTGGTCACTACAAGACTGCCAGTCTCAAGTTCAAGGCACTGGAGGCAAGAACTAGGATCACTTTCTTCAGTACTTACTACCACACCAAGAAAGACGACTTCGGGTCTCTTTGCGGTCCTATCATCGACGATATTCGGGTTGTCCCGGTTGCCTAAGACGAGGTTTTATCTGCTCTGGAGACTGCGGGAATTCGATAATGTAAGGAGTGTATGCAGAGTTTATCATTAGAAGAGGATACTTCGTTTGTATTTGTTCTTCTTGCTTGAGGATTGTTGTTGTTCGCTCGCCTTCTTTAAAGTTGAATTTCAGATATTCTACGAGGAAACCATAGCAAAGGATGCGATAAATTTGCATTAAAAAGAACCAATTTATTGCAACTAACTTGTGTAGTCTATGCCTTGCATGTTCTTTTATGCAGGTTTTCATTTCGGTACGTACCAAACTGAAAATCTTGGTATTTTTTTCGAAATGTATCATTCAAAATTTTTGAATGGTATGTTTTTTATAAAATAGAATTGAACCGAATTTTATAAAATTTTCAAAAAACGATTTTTTTAAAACAAAAATCGAAATCAAACCGTAATAAAACCATAGCTGAACTTAATCGGGTATTAATCTGGTACAAATTTTAGAATACCGAATAAACCGTTCCCGAACCGAACTGCTAAAATTCTAAACCAAACACCGAAACGTCTACCACTAACTAATTGTTTCTGCAAGTGTTTATTTCCACCATTAACTAATTGTTTCTGCAAATGTTTATTTCCAAATTACATATCAATATTCTTCCAATGCATATGCCTGCAAGGGAAGAAACACAAGAAGAGATATAACATACGGAAGTGGAAGAAAGAGCCATTTCAATGCCAGAAATGTTTAGCGTATGGCCTTCATACATGTACATACATATATTTTTTTTTTGATAATCCGGAAGTTCACCGAGCTTTTGGTCCGACTACATCTCACAGAGGATCAGAGAAATGATAACGCAAATCTAGGTATAGAAATAATGCTCAAGTGATAAAAACCTAGATACAGCGAAAACCGCAAGGATACGGATCAACTGTAGTACCAGGGTCGAACACAGGGAATAGTTAACACTAAGAACAGGACTCGACTAAGAATCAGATCAGGAAATAGCAGATGGAATAGATGAATACCAAAAATAAAGCAATAAGTAAACTAAGTAAAATCAGATAATTAAACCACCGTAGCTTCGGGATAACCTCAACGCGCAGGGATTGTTTCTAAGGATGAAGAATCTACGAGTATCGAACTCTAAACGGGGATCTCAAGTTCTTGTGAAGATTTTAGGATTGAATCCAAAAAGACAAAAGAGATCGAAGGAGAAAGCTCTGGGAAAACAATACTCTGATTATAATCTTCGATAATGTTTACATCGTGTATGTGCAGCATATATAATAAAAAGGTAAAGTACAGAGAAAAGGAAATAAAATAAACAGAAAGAATTATAAGGTAAATTTACATTTAGGTGGAGCTAAATTATTGTGATAAGAAGTCAATTACCAAACGGCTAATCTCCTAGAATATCTTCTCCCGATTTGTTCCCTTGGGTTGTTTGGTCTTCGTTGACTGTTGCTTGCTCCTCAAGCAAGTTGTTCTCTTGCGTAGTTTCTTCAGACACTCGTATGGTTTCCTCCTGGTCTTTGTCATGTGCTTCGAGTATAGCTTCAATTCCAACATTCCCCCTCAAGATTAGCTTGGAAAAATGTTGACAAGCTAATCTTGACGACAAGACGCGTTGTCCATCTTCAAGCATCTATTACATTCCAAGTACGGTTTTATTTTCTGCAACATCTCAAACGAAAGATTAGCAAACACAAAGGAGGCCGTAGCACTCCGTTTTGAAATAAATTTTGATTTCAAAATTTCTAGAATTTTCATGTCAAAAAGTAACAAAAATAATATTCTAGTGTGATAATACGCAAGTCTTAAGGCTAGTTTTTCAAGGTATACAATATGTTTATCATAGACTTCAAATGTATCATACGTGATCTTAAAAGTATTCCTAGTGTGCATATTTTGTTTTTCTTCATGGAACAAAATTTTAATTGTACCGGGATCAAAAATAAATGAAAGAAGATTAGAAATACCGAGCCTAGAGTTTTTGAACCTCATAGGTAATGCTATGCCTTTTTCGAACATTTTTCCACACTTCGGCTTTTGTCTTCGTATATGGACTTTCATTAAGTCTGTTTGCTTTGTACTCCAATGACTCATCATGAGCGTGTCCTTTATTTTCTGTCCAATAACACTTAAAATACGAAGCATATCATTAGAAAAAACGAACTCAAAATGAATTGGACCAAAGAAAGAATGACAAACTCTATTGTCGATGCATTGGAAGTGTATGATCGGATTTGCTTTAGGAAGAATGAAGGGGATAAGATTGTTCTCCATAGGTGATGCCTCATTTTCGGGGTTCTTTGCCTCCATTTGTAGGTCATCATCCTTTACGAACTCCATTTGATTCCCTTCTTCTTCTTCTTTTGAGCAATCCGGTCCTACTTTTTCCGTGTGTTCGACTTCTTCGATTTGTGTCATTTTTTCTTCACCCTCTTCATTAAGTTGTTCATTTAACCTCTCATCATCCACACACGTGGGAGTGATCTCCTCACATTCCCCCTCACGTTGTGGATGAATAGGCGTCATGTATTCAAGGAAGAATTCTCTGACGGTTTGATCGGTCATCTCTTCTTCCGACAACCACTCGTGTTGTTCCTCATTTATGATGTTTTGAGTGCGTTCTTCGCACCACATCATTTTTGCTTCCATGAGGGATATTTTCCCTTTGGCTTTTATAACCTGCAAGATTAGTTTGTTGTGTATACCATCCAAAAATCCAAGAAAGGTATAGAGTTTACACGTTTCGATGCTTAGATCGGGATGAAGCTCCTTGATTCTATCCCAAACACCCTTGAACGCCTTGTCTCTTTGTTCTTCAAGCATGTTACTCCATACATTTTGGAGCAACTTGAATTTGCGGATGTACTCAAAGGTTGCTATGACCTTGAAATCTTCATATGCCAATTGGTATGACATGTTTCTCTCCTCCTGCGGTGTTTATTTGACAAGAGGGATATTTTTTTTTTTCGAAAAATCTATGCAGCGGAAAAAAGAATAGTGGTCACCATGGATCTTGCTCTGATACCATGTGGGATTTAAGAAGAGAATGAAGAAATAATATGCAAATCAACAAGTGAGGAAGAAGATGTTGTGAATAATTATTCAAAGTCTACGTTACTTGTTCTTATTTTACATCTATATATTTAGATACTACATAGCATATAAAAAGAAAAGTGAATAATGGAAATTAAGATGACTAACGGTAACAAGTAAGAAGATAAGGAAAATTGCTTCTTTGGCAACGTAGCCAATCTTGGTCTTCTGAATCTGCTTGAAGATAATATTCCCTTGATTTTGGAATGTCAAACGGTCAGTAAAGTTGTGTAAAACCCTTGGTTAGGTTCCAAAGGTTCATTTGTCTCTACAGATCGGTCTACAGCTAGACCGATCGGTCTGGACCTTAACAGAGCGACCGTTCCTGAACATTTCACTCCGTTCCAGCTCCGAGACGTAGACCGATCGGTCTAGCATACTGGGCAGAAAACCCAGATCACGATTTTTCATCTTGATCTGGTTTTGTGCTCTGCTCTTGCCCGATTTTCGATCCGTTTTCGGTAGTAGACTCATGAATCGACCCTCTGTATATCCAACTAAAGTTATGTGATAAAATCTACAATAGATTCAATCATTATACAGACTTTATATATGGATTAAAACCAAGGAAAAACATGAGTTTGAACAGTTCAAACTCCCGCAAAGTGATCGTTCTTCATCGAACAAACGATCCGGGCTCTGATACCACTGTTGGGTCATGGCGTGCACGACCCGGACGGTTCACAACCGTCTTAGGATCAATTCCATAGGTTTGCGCAGCGGAAATGGCATTCAAAACAAATTTTGAATCACCCACGGACCAAACATGCTCGATGAAGAACTTCAAGAGAGAAAACTAACCTTTGAATCACTTGGATTCAAAATCAGATTGTAGGTTGTTGATCACAGCTTAGGTGTTGATGAAGCGAACACCCTCTTGAGGTATCTGCAACTTGAAATGGACTCCAACACTTGGAATCAAGCTTGCTAGAGATCAAGAGATCAAATCTCTTGTGTATGGAGATCAAGAACACTTCTTGCTCTCTTTTTCGCTTGAGAGAGTCTCTCTCTCTCTCTCTCTCTAGAACTCCCAGACGTTCTTGGGTCGAGTTCTGATCAAGTAGGGAGGTTCTCACCTAATTTTAGCCATTAAAACACGTGAAAATCACGGACAGCTCACCTACCGATGCCTAGACCGATCGGTCTAGCTAGTTGTCCTGCTGACAGTCCGAAAAAGAACATAGACCGATCGGTCTAGGTCTGGACCGATCGGTCTGTTCTGAAACCTGTCATCGTCACATTGCCTAGACCGATCGGTCTAGGGGTAGACCGATCGGTCTAGGCCAATCGACTTAGCAAAACACGACGTAAACCGAGTCCAGATCGGATGGTCCAACCATTGGACCGATCGGTCTGGCCCTACGGAAAAATTCCAAATTTTCCCGTTCCCTGCCAAGCTGGTTCTTTCAAAGGGGATTTCAAGTTATCTACCGAGCATGTTTCTCGAACCTATTTATCGCTGTCTACAGGAATAATTCGGTCCACTAGGGTTTGGAGTGAGTCTAAATACGGTGATGGAAAATTGGAGTTCCAAAGATCAATATCAAATGCATTCTCCTTCTGTCGTTCTTATTCGAGCCCTTCTTCTTCATATATATATATATATATATATATATATATATATATATATATATTTTCTTTTTTTTTTTCATTTTTTTTAGAAAAAAAATAATACGCGTCGAACGAATGCATGATATGATCAAGAGGAACGAATGTAAGAGCAGGATGTATCAGGTACGAAACGAATCATGTGTTGGATTGTAGATAGTCAAGACGGGATTTGTACCTCTCGTAAAAGAGAGAGATATCGCTGGGCCACTACAAGAAAAACTGAAATTTGCGACACCTGTTGCGACCGAAATTTCAGTCGCAATAAAATGTGCGACAGACCGCGA